GCTGAACATCTTCTTTTATGTTTTCTGTCCATTACAAATGTTACACAGTCAGAACTTTTCATATTCCTTATTCTTATTCCGAAAATGTTTGTTCTGACTCTTGGGCTGAACACAGAAATGAGCACACAAACACAGACACAGAGGCACACACAAACACAGAAGCAAAGCAGGAGCAGCGAGAAGGATTCCCAGCCAAGTACAATTGCATGAGTGAAACTGGGAGGAGAATTTGGCCCACTGACTGCTATTGACACCCAAAGTGGTGACTTTGATTCTGTCTTTAAACACACAGGAAATAAGTAAGATAAGGCCAGACTTACTCTCTTCTTGCAAACTACCAAACCCTTGCTTAGCAAAGACCTGATTCTACAAACCTTCAGAAGACAAAAATATCCTTATCAATCTAGTGAAAAATCTGTAGCTGATCCTCAAGACAACTGATCACCTAGGGCTATTTCACTCTTCCCATACATTAGATTTACTTAATTTCTTTCTTCTTTGCCCATTTTTTCACTGCTCTTTTTCATCCTGCTATAGTATTTTTTTCAAGTTACTGCTGGCTGAATGGCAGAACTCAGAGGGTTGTCATCAGCAGCGCTGAGTCTAGTTGGAGGCTGGTAACTAGTGGTGTCCCTCAGGGGTCAGTACTGGGCCCAGCCTTGTTTAACTTCTTCATCAATGACCTGGATGAAGAGTTAGAATGTACCCTCAGCAAGTTTGCTGATGACACCAAACTGGGAGGTGTGGTAGATACACCAGAAGGTGTGCTGCCATTCAGGGAGACCTGGACAGGCTGGAAAGTTGGGCAGAGAGGAACCTGATGAGGTTCAACAAAGGCAAATGCAGGGTCCTGCACCTGGGGAGGAACAACCCCATGCATCAGTACAGGCGTGTGGTGGACCTGCTGGAGAGCAGCTCTGCGGAGAGGGACCTGGGTGTCCTGGTGGACGACAGGTTAACCATGAGCCAGCAGTGTGCCCTGGCTGCCAAGAAAGCCAATGGGATCCTGGGGTGCATCCAGAAGGGCAACCTTAAGTTTGATCATCGAATCGTAGAACCATCGCATCATTTAGGTTGGAAAAGATCCTTCGTATCATCAAGTCCAACCGCAAACCCGACACTGCCAACTGCATCACCATACCGTGTCCCAAAGCGCCACGTCCACACAACTTTCAAATAGCTGCAAGCATGCTGCCTCAATCACTTCCCTGGGCAGCCTGTTCCAATGCTTGGCAACCCTTTCGGGGAAGACATTTTTCCTAATAGCCCACCGAAAAATGTCTCCTTCTCTGGAGATATTCAAGACCCACCTGTACAAGGTCCTCTACAGCCTACTGTAGTTGACCCTGCTTCGGCAGGAGGGTTGGACTAGATGACCCACAGAGGCCCCTTCCAGCCCCTACCGTTCTGTGATTCTGTGATTCCTCCTCTTCCCTAGAAGTCACAGACAGCATCCTCGTCAGTGGAAAATCCCACTCAAAGCCTATCATTCAGTATTTCTCCATTTTTCAGACAGTAGTACTGACCCAAGTGGGATCAGAAGGAAGGAGAGGTTCTGACCAAGGGGTTTACAAAGCATGAACAAATGTGCAAGGAAAAATGTGCAGCCTTCCCCCTCTAGCTTAGAATTTAGGATCTACCCCAAATACTTCAAAAACTTATTTTTATATGAGTGTTATTTAGTGAATTGTGCAAAATGAGCCACTAGAACTGGTTTTACATGGCAAACAAAACATTCAAGCCTCTGTCACCACTGCCAGTAGTGGAACCCTGGGGGCAAAAAGCAGAAGCAAGGAAATGGAACCAAGTTTTCGCCTAGGTTGGGACCTTCTCTGATTAAGAGGCATGAACCCATTCCCAATACAGATCCACCACTACAGGATGGAGCCCATGCAAGTTTATGTACTAGCTAAGAAAAATGTTACGACCATTCAATGGCATTTTGACATCTAGAATGTAACAATTTCTTCTCATTGCAGGTATATGAGATAACTGGTCAAAATGAACTGGTATAAACTGCACTACACAAACTAATGCAACATTTATGCAGGTAGCATCAAGTCAGATCATACAGTGGCTGAAGAACAGGGGACTGTTTTCCTAGAAAATATTTAGTGCATTTATGTGTGGAAAGAAAAGGATTCCCTAACACAAGGTTCTTTAAACCATTTCATTGTATTACAGACAGACAATCACCTTGTCATACTGGTATACCTGGGAAGACACATGCCCTGAACAGGCAATGAAGTTTTTTCCTGTTGTAAAAATTATTTTTGTCCTGAAGTTTTGGATTCCATGTGTTGTATGGCACTTAACCTTGGATAGGACTGTGGGGATGACAGCCTGAGTTCAGGCAACTTAAATTTTACTTAATCCTCTGTGCCACCTCTAGAGCCTCAGCCTTTAGTGCACACAGACCTCAGGTGCAGAACAAGCTGACCTCTTAGAAACGGCTTCTGACTTCTGTCTCAGTCTGGGCCTGAACAATATACCAGGCATGTAACAGGAAATGAGCTAAAAATACACCATATTCTACATGGAGAAAGTCAAGATTTCACATTTTGTCCATGACTTCGTATGTTAAGACCTTTGCACTGGCAGAATGAGGCAGCTATGCAAGAACAATGATCTGCTTTCAGCAACTGCACACTCTATGTCTGCAAGCATTCAGCAACTTTACCTGCAAAAGATCAGTGAAGCAGAATCACACTGCCTACTCAGGTTCTCTAATTCCTATTACAGAAAGACAGGTACTTGCCATGTGAAAGAAACTGACAGTAAAGGAGCCTATCTAGAAAAGAAGCACACCCAGAAAAAGCACTCCAGTGCATGTTTAATTTCACTCCAGATTAGTCACAGTCTGGATTTTAAATGCATGCTTAAATGCTTTCTCAGACATGGTCACAGAACAGAGCTATAGGTCACACACATACAAGACTCTCTTGTATTTATGGGCTGCTGGTTAGTTCTACTGAAGTCAGTGACTTCTCCCACTTTCAGATATTATATTAAAATACTTCTGGGGCAACACAGCTTTACTCAACAATGAACAACTATCATTAACTAAGAAACGACCACTTCTCAGTCTGAAAGAAATGTAATTTCTTCTTCTGACAGTTGAGCATTCAACAAAATACGCTTCGCCTCAATACTGATCAGCTCCTTTACCACCACAGCCCCCCCATCCTGTGACATACATCTCTTCCAACATTTGACAAACCAACAGCATTTAGGTACTGTCAAAGAAAGAGAGAGAATTTCTGGGACAACCCAAAAACATATGAGTAAAGAGACTAATTCCACTGTTTTTTTTTCACATTCAAAAGAGAAATAATGTTTTTAATATTTGAAAAAACTTCTACATTATTTAAAATACTATCTGGAATATCTAAATCACATTCCAAATGTTTGATAAAATCTGCTGCAACAAACATGCTCATACGAGAAGACAGGCACAGTGTAAGTTATTTCCCATTCTTAGACACAAGCTTCTTGGTAGTCATCTCTCAACTGATAATCAACGTTCCCATCTTCTAACCTGTTTTGAAGACCACACGAGATGATGTTAGAAACCAGCAGTTTAGCAGCAGATTTATTGTAAATTAACATCTTACTAGGTAAAAAAGATCAGTGGTCTCAACCTTCCAGACCCAAAGTTAGCAACCACATGATTTGAGCAGCAGAAGATGAGGTTTTTAAAATGGTGAGAACTAGACATGACAGTTTCACATTCATTTCCAGAGATACTTGTGCCCCTGCTAACTTTGCCTATCTCTTCTCATGCATTTGATCACAGCTTAATTTTCCATGGCCTGACACTGTTCTACTTCCCTAATCTCCCATTCTTTCCCAGCTACAAGAAATAATATAAATAAATTTCCAGCAGGAAAAAAAAAAAAAAAGAAATCCAAACAATATGAGTTTCTGAGCTCACAGGACTCCTAATGTACAAATGCAAGAGTGAATCCTTACCCACTGCCTCTCATCATTCCTAATAACGAAAGCAAAGCTTCAAAGATGTCTGTGGATAGAACACGTTTTGAATAGCCCTACTGAGTTGCATCTGAATAGCATCTGAAGGCCAATCCTGACATTCTTACTTAGCTGTTGACAGTGTACAAGTCTTACACAGGCAAACTTCTGTTCAAGTCCAAGAGGTTTGGTCCTTGTGAGCACTAAATGAAATTAATAAGAGCGTGACAGCTGCCAGGTTTGCTGACATCCAGAATTAAAGTGTACCCTTATGGAATAAATGAACTAACTGTTGTGTTTGACCCAAACAGCATGCGTCTTTGACTATGTCCGTATTAAACAGTTTATTTTATAATTATGCATAATAACAGAACTATTATGCAATTATTTATATTTTCAATAATTGTCAAACATAGCAGGTGGGTTTAAGGAAAAGAAACAATTCAAAATTCAACACAGACAGTTTTCTAATTACGCTAGTCATCATTACCACTACAAAACCAAGAAACAATTCCCAAGAAATCATTTATATTTAGCTACAGTTATATATTAAACATAGATCTCTAGAAATATTTAGACAGATTCCATACCATGATCTCTCTGATATATAGAACACAGTCCCCTGGACTGGTCTCTGCTGATACTAGCCTTTGAATGATTCAAGGCAATTTACAAGAATTGGCATGTGGTTCCAAATGGGGATGCTAAGTTGATGTAAAATTACTTACAAGAATCATAGCTAAAAGCAGGACCTACGACTTTATGCTGGCACTTAACACAAGGTGGATTGTACCCATGCTTGCTAGTTTAATGAAAATAAATATGGTGTTATTCTTTAGAGTTAGAGTATTTTTCCTCTAGGGTAAGACAAGCTACTAACATTTCATATCATGGACTGATGGGGAAAATTGCATTCTCTTGAAAAAACTGTACTATCTCCTGCCATGTTTCCATTGGAAGGAACACACATATTTTGAATTATTGAATGGGATAAGTACATTTAATCACTTGCTTTCAAGGAGAAGAAGTCACAAGAATGAGTTCTGATAACCATTAGAGAAAGCTTTGCTGCTGTGCTTGCTCTCCCCAGATTCATGGCATTTCCACAGACAAGCTATTCCATCAGCCGCAACAGAAAACAGCCTGCTGTGATCTGGGCTCAGGGCTATATGCAGGACTCTCCCTTCATGACCTGTAAAACAAAATATGTACAAAAGAATGCAAAGATACATCACAATTCTACACTGATTATGCCAGTCATTTTCACCACCAGCACCCAGAGCATGGCTTTTTCCACTTTTACTGTAGCAGCTCAAAATGCTGCGTAGGTGCGGGGAGCTACCATTTTCTACAGAATATTTTCACATTAAGAAAGAGCTGAAGTTTTCTTATTAGAGACCAGGCTTTAACTGCCAGGACTGCACCACATTGAGAAGACATTTGTGTCAAAGCAGAACACCGAATCTGAACTCTTGATTCTCCACTGCATTTGCAGCATCAGTCCCATCTGTGTTTGGTAATGTGTCTCGCTGCTGAGCTTTCCCATCTGGCTGCAAAGGCCTTGCAGACAATTTGCAGCTGATCCAACAATCATGAGATAGTGTCTCCAGCTGCTCAGTTATGACTGTTATGGAGATCTTCTAACAGTGATCCCACTGAATAATTTATTGGAATTGCATACTGAGTTTGTCTGTAGTTGTAGTAAACTTTGGGAGTCAGACACTGAAGGCCAGAAGCTACCCCAGTCTAGCAGCACAAAGAACATACAAAACTCATTAATCTGGTTATACAAGTATCTCTCTCAGTAGAAGCAACTGAAATTGAACTGAGTGCAGAAAGAGTCTGCCATTAAACTGAGACTGTTGAGACCTGTATCTACCTCTGCTCTCCTGTACCACCTAGCACAATGTCAATGCTAAGCAAACCCATAATGGTTTTTGGCACATAGGGGTAGGAGAAATCGAAGCCTTTTTTACTTTAATTTACTGGTCATTGGCTTCTCTGGTTGGGTGAGTTACTGACAATCATACAGCTGAGCTAGTCACCCAAAGGGGAAAAAAAGAAACTTCTGAGACATAGTGTATCTATCTCATCTAAAACAAACCAGATGAACCACATCCTAAAAGGAAGTGTGAAGGTGTGAAGTCTTGGGTGACCACCTTGAATGAATGTAGGTGGCCTATGTCCTACATTATCTGTACCTGAGTTCTCCATGAACACAGCACTTCTCTAGCTCAACATAATATTATGAGGATAAATATGCGAGGAACTGTAAAACTCTCTGAAACTGTGGTACTTATCACAATAGTAACTGATGAAGATCTATAGGATTGTTGCAGACGGACAGTCTGCCCCAACTTTGCGAAGCTGCTACAACAGCTCTCTGGAGCCATTGTGACTAAAGGCAAGAATCTGCTGTCCTGGTGCTGAGTAACGTGTGTCCCACCTAAACTTGGTGACTAGAATTTTGACAACATCACTAAATTATTTCAGCAGAGATTAACTCTCAGGCTTTACTCCTTCTCGAGTTATTGAAGTGTATATCATCTTTGTCAACATCCAACACCATGAGTTTACAACTCAGTGAATTCTTTACACTGTCTCCATTCAGTGTCTGTAACAACTTTGAAGGAAGAGCTGGAGACGTAGTCTTTGGAGGCATCCAAAACTATCCACAACACTGACTGAAATCTGATTACTAGTTTCAGCCAAAACCATGTGAAGGGGGATAGGGAGAGATCAGCAGTTGAAATTACTCATTTCCGTGTTTTCTGAGTGGAGAGGGCTGGAGTATTATTTCTTTTTTTCACGATCACATTCAGGTACTTCTAAAAGCAATTACATTTTGTTTGCCTGTATGTTTTTGTTTATTTACAACAGCTTTTCTAAGGGAAGGGCATTTACATCCAAAACAAATCTTTTTTTCTAGTAAATTACTTTAATAGTTCTATCAGAAGTACCTCAAAAAGGGACTCAGTGCCATAAAAAGGTTACCATCAGCTGCTAGTCTATTCTGAATATGCCCAGTAATAGGCAACCTCAATTACTAAAGTACTCAACAGCAACTGACTGTGCTTCATTGTTAGCTGAGGTCTTCAGCATTTTGCAGGAGGATTAAGTAATGACATTCAGTTACAATTTATCCACTCATTTCTTTGGGTGGTTAAGGGTGTCTGAGGCTGATTTAGAACCATCTCACAATCATCTATCACAGTATTTTTTCTGAACGTTATTTTGATACATTGACAATTTCTTCCAACATTCAGTTGCTTATAGTAAGGTAATAAGAGTCTTTGTAAGCAAGAATGTATCTGTGTAACAATTACCTGGTCTTTTTGTTAATGAAAATTAGTTTCTCTTGCAGACAAGTAAACTGAATAGGAAACAGGATGATAAGTAACCCTCCAGCTTCACCAAACTACCAACACATTTGACTTACATGATAAATGTTTTAAACCATATTGTCAAAGGTAAGACTAAATCTAGGTTTCATTTCAAATAATATATTCAACACTTACAAAGACTTGAGAAACCTCAGGCTATAGTAGCTAAGACTAATGATCATGTCGCTTATCAAATAATTTCTCATGATATCACAGGACACAATCTTAAGAGCTATACATAAATGAGTATGGACAAGGAAGGAAAAGCAGCACAGACAAGCAGCATTACACAAGCCACCCTCTCTCTTCCAGCCATCTTTGTTTTGACTCTCCTGTGTTTTCCTCTTATAGGTTAGTGTTAAAGCCAAGTCCCTGGTTACACCCAAGTCACTGCTTCCAAGGACAGCATCCCAGTATGGCTGGGATTTAATAAATCAGGAATTTAATAAATGGTTTCAAATGTAGCAACATAGCACAAAAAGTAGTTGTAAATATCAGCTGTTAGGTTAAAAATCCAAAGCTTCTTGGACCATATCTGGTCAGTGAGTGTGAAAAAACCACCAAACCTGTGAAAATGCAGCCTGTGTGCAAATAATTTGTTTTGTCTTTTAACTTCAGATGCTTCTGCTGGACCACTTCAGTTAACACTGAAACAAGTAAAACTTAATGCACAGGAATGACAGCAAGCATCAGAAACAAGAAGGCTTAATAGCAAGGAACAACTTTTATGTGTAGTGTAGCCCTACAACTCCACGGACCAATACAGACCTACAAGGAAACTCCACTTCCTCTAGCTGTGATCACAGTACAAGGGAAACACACTGCATTGCATTGCTTCACAGCCAAAATCATTCATTAAAACCCAGACAGCTCTAAATAACACATGGAGATTTATTTCAAACATCATTAGGAAGCTGGTTCAGTATCCTTCCATGATGAGCTGCAACATTGAAGAGCCACATCCAGTTTCAGTTATCTAGAAGGCCATCAGCCTAGAACATACTGGAAGCAACCTCGTATTAGCACACTCAGTCCACGCCTAGTAAGCCTTAGGAAGCAGTGGAAATCCACATCCTGCATCTGGCTTGGCCTTAGAAATTATAGGAGACAATCCCATCATCAAAATCAAAGAATTTTACAGAAGCAACTTATACTATTATCTTAATACGTCAACCTTTACAATCCCATGCATGAGGACTGTGCACATGAATGCATGGGTGTAGGCAGAGGGAGGATGTGTAGATGACTGCTATTTTAACTCTATACGTGTAAGGTATGCACTTGCAAAACCACACTGATTAAACAGATAGTTAACTGAAATAGCTCAAACTATTAACTTAAATACTTCCCATGAAGTTCTGATGAATTGACAAGCGTGGGATACTTCCATATTTTCATCTGATTTCCAGGAAGGCCTTGTCCAGTCATCAGTTCACTGGTTTTGGGTAACCAGACCAAGGAACAGATCTATCGCAATTTAAAATTCTGCATTAGTTTTCAGAACAGGGCAACATGCACCATTCAGTAGATTTGAAATGTTACATACAATGTTTAAACAAGCTACTGAGAAATAGTGCCATCAGAATATTTACTTCTTCAGAAGGATCATTTCATTCCTCACAGCGTTTTGAAGTACAGTTGCCTTATTGTCCTATCTGAATGTGATAATAGCCTATCAGTATAAAACCCACAACCTTCAAACACATCCTCAGCTAAGCTGTCATAGTTCCAGGAAAATCAACAGCTATGCTGCTTTACTCCAGCTGAGAATCTGTTCCTCTGTCTCCTAATATTCAAACTCCAGAGACGGATGTTTGCCCTCTGACTCTTACACCTCTTCTCACCCCAGCACTCTGGGAATTTTCCCTCCCCCTCAACATTCTCTCCACATCAAGAGTTTTGGCCAAAACTATTATTGCCAATAAGGAAAACATGATGAGAAGTGTCTGGCTGCAAGACCACCTCCTCTTCAATCACTTCTGTGTGGAGACAGAAGTGCTGAATGAGAAACCAGAAACTGCTGAGTCCAATCACACACTGCAAAAAAGATGAGCACAGATATACAAGAAGAGCATAGCCTAAATATGCAGACATTTCATCATTTCACCTGAGAATCTGTAGCTGCACTTTGGATTATTTTCTCACGATTTATGTCCCAGACACGCAAAATCCCATCTTTCATTCCGCCCCCTGTAGCAAGGACTTTGGAGTGCCAAGGACACCAGTTCACAGCCTAAAAAAAAAGAAAACAGATGACAGAACAGACAGACTAGGAGGTTAGCTGGAAAAACAAAGTAGATTTTGCTTAAAAGCCATTGGAAAAATGAACTGCAACAAACACCCAGAATGTCTCTCTGGATTTTTTCACCCTACACCATGTTCTTCCTACACACACACAGAGCAATGCAGAATCCGAAAACTCCAAATGGTGCTTCCTTTGCCATTGCTTCACAGTAGCCTACACTGTCCCACATATGCTCATAAAACTCCAGTTTCTCTGCTTACCCTTCACAGGCCACGGGTTAACACCTCAGTACCAGAAGAACCCAGCAAGATACAGTCTCACTGCCTAAGCCAAGCCATCACAGAAGCCTAAGCAACGCGAATTACAGGGCTTACAAGAGACCTGGGTTCTTCTGTGTTATTTCCAGGATATGCCTTAAGCCTAGACTCTCTTTGAAGAAAAGCTACTAAGAACTGAATTTCACCTTCTTCATTAACCTCCTCTGATGCTTTAACAGCAGCACTTCAGGCCAGCCTCAGATTTTTTTGGGAGGACAGACAGTTTATAAATGCTGGACTCCCCTGTCTCTTATTGCTGATACTTGTCCTCTCTCCCACACAGACTGGGACTTCATAAAGATGAAGATTCTAAGTTGTCTCACTTCCAGGTTATTACTTCAGATTCTTTGCTACCAGAAATGACATGAAAACATGGGCAGGAAGGCAAAATAAATATCATATTTAAAATAATTGCAGCAGACAGAATTTTCTAAAACTCAAAAAAATTGAAATATCTTGTTGGTTAACTCTTAAGTACTGTGACACCAAAGATTTCTGTGCAAAACAGAGGAGAAGGCTGTAAATTTTATTTCTATTTGGCATTATACTTACAAAGGCCTGATAATCCAGTAAATTTTCCTGATTAAAGCCCTATCAGACTTCTCTGTGACTTGGAATGAGGAGAACTGGTCTTAAAACTAACTGCATCGCAGTCAGAGGAGGAGAAACTAATAATTCGTGGATTTGAAATATTCCCGAACTGTCCACATCAACAATGTGATTTCATGAGAGCAAATACAGAAAAGCAGACATTCCTTCTCCATATACCTTAACTGCTGAGGGATGAGGTATGGTTTTCAGTGGCTGTGATTGCAATTTCACACCAGGGTCACTAGGCCAGATATTCAATATACCATCACTAGACCCACTTGCCAGCAACTGGTTGGTTAGGGACCATTTCAAGCTGCAAATGCTCTGCTTGTTTTGGCAAAGAGTCCCAACACGGTGCTGAGCAACCCGAACATCATGGTGGTGAATAGATCCTAGTCGTGAACCACTGTAGATGAAAAAAGACAGTATGGGTTTCATGTCAAAGAAGACAAGCTAAATCACTAGACTGATGTTTCTTCAGTGGTTTCAGAAGCAAACCACATCACAGTGAAACGTGTCTGCAGAACAACAGTATTTCAGTACAAGGAAACACAAACCAACTATCACAAGCACACCCCGAGTGTAGAGGTGGCTGACACCAGAAAGGAGTCAAGCAGCTGCTCAGTTCAAGCCAGGCAGAATACCTTTTCTCTCTCATGCTTTTCATTTCCCTGAAGAAATATGGCATTGTATGCCACTAACCTGCACCCTATTCAACTGTCGCGCCATTTAATGTAAACTCTCTTCTGTTCTTCATGAAAAATAGTTTTTCAAGATGATGTTTGCCAAGGTCAGATATGACTCCATGCCCAACAAAGAGGCAGTGTAAAACTGTATTGCTCTGGGAAAGGGCTTACTAGCGAGTAACAGTATGTTCTTTGGTTCTGTCCCTTCCCTTGTCCTCTTTCTCAGTCCCACTTCCAGGTCTAAAATCTGCACAGCTCAACACTGTTGCATCACTGGCTGTGAGGCAATGGATGCATGGTTCTACAGCCAGTCTCATCAGCCTGCCAAAGGAAGGAAGGAAGAAATACCCTGACTGGAAGCACAGCTACTGTTACAGCTTAGCTCCTGCATATGGGTTTTAAACATCAACAGTAGAGTTGAACTGAAAATACTCCACAGCACATTTTTTTTTCCTGCCTTTCTAAGGTTATTCCTATATTAAACCTGTGACAAAACAGAAGAGCCTTCCTGCTGGAAATTCACACTTCCAACTACTCTGACAACACCAGAAAAAATCAATAAATTCAATACCATCTTTCTGGGCATCTGAGAAACAGATACCTGACACTACAGCAATAGATTAATTTAAGGCAGTAATTACTGGAGACTTTCCCATACTGTGTTTTAAAGATTTTTCAGATGCAAGTTGAGTGATTTGGAAGCTCTAAAAATGCACACACAAAACTGACTGATTGCAAGAATCATCACCCTGTTGTGCCTGTATTATGGACTTGCCAAGCTCTTGAAGTTCACAAAAGCATGAAACATTTCAACCAAGCAGTGAATATTAAGCACACCTTTATCAAAAATACCTATGAAGATACTTGGGAATATGTACATTATACGCAAAGGCATCATCATTTGCCTCCTGAAGATTTATATAGATTTTTCCTACTAAATAATAAACAGAAAGTCTAACCAAGAGAAGCAGAATTGAATTGCCAATGTTGGCCATATTAAGGTTTTTGGTAACTCTAGTGGTGTGAGTGGGAAGGAACTGGGCCCCTGAAAATCCTGGCTGAAGTGACATTTTTTCACAGAAATTAGAATTACTGGCTTTTGACACAGAAGTGGCATGTGTTCTGCTAAAGACAAAGAGAAGCCAACAAAATTTTGTGATGGGTTAATTTATGGTACTGAAATTTATTTACAGATTCATGATGATGTGTTGTTGGACTATTTTTAACCATAGGAATTGTAATCCCAAAGTATCAATTGTCCACAGTGAAGTTTACTGTAAGAATGCTGCTCTTCTTTTAGTAACAATGAGTATTAACTCCACGTCTTTTTTTATACTTATACAGATATTTTAACTCTGCCCTAATGTTAGAATGAACTGGTTAGTTTCAAACCTAGTAAGAGAAATAAATATTATGTCAACCTAATCTGTCAAGCATAACTGTAGTTCACAGGTTCATGCTGAATTCTATCATCAATTTCTACTCAGAAATCTGTAATTCAAGTTTCTCTTATTTTCACTCCTTTGGTCAAGCTGAAATGCAAACTGAAACTAACACTTACTGTAACAAAATTATGCCAGTTGGCATTGGCAGGATGTTTTAGCTGCATCTGTGTAACTTAACCCACCCAGTGTGCCTACTCCAGCAACAGCATTTTATTGACTGGGGGTTCAGCTGGTATCCTTGTACCTCACTCCAACCAGCAGATCTCATACAATCAAAAGCCAGAGCATCTTGCAAAATCACAATAAAACTACTTCGAGTGTTCCTATCCAGTTTGAGTTTAACAATAAAGTCTTGCTTCTGTTTCTATGTTTAAGTAAAATAGAAGACTATCACATGATTCTAAAAAAGTAGAAGCATTCATTATAAACAAGTTTCCCCTCAGCCCCTTCAAGTCTGAGTCAAAGATCTGAAACAGAAAGTGAGAGCAAAAAAAATCACAAAAGAGTAGACTTGATCTTTCTCATCTGAGTCCCTACATTGACATGATTCCTAAATATGAAATATTCACCAGCTACTGTAAAATTCACCCTTGGTAAAGCAAAGGTAAATCACCTTTGAGCAAAGCCAATTAAAACAGCTGCAACGAATGGGACATTTATCTAAGTAAAAGCAGCAGGACTTTTTCTGTAAATATACTATACCACTCACCTGCTCAGAATATAATGATTCCAGCTCAAAGTTCCAACTACAGACAGGTGACCAAACATATTTCTCAACATCTTTTTCGTTTCAATGTCCCACAGCTGCCAATACAAAACAAGCAAGAAACACAAATTTAACAACAAAAAGAAAAAAGTTTTTTGCCTCTTTATTTGTTTGCAGGTAAGACTCTGCCCAGTTCTGATTTGACATATGAACAATCTCAAGCTCATTTATTTCACAAGTGAGATAAGAAGTATTTCCAAACTTTGGCACCTATATGAGTGATGCTGAAGTCAGACAGGAATGAAGGAATGCACATCTCTGAGTTTAAAGCTATTTATTTCCATGTCAGTATTTGGAATTCCATACTTGAAAGCACTGGCCTTCAGTACCTTCACATTGCTGACTCAGGACTGCAGCAGGTACGTCCCCATATTATTCAGCATCTCAGCCAAAGTCCCACAAAAATCTTTTGATAATAAGACTGTCCTATAACAGCAGACTGAGGCATATGTGCATAATCTGTCTGAAGGCAAATCCTCTTGTGTGAATCCTTAAGAAGAGTTCTTGCTTGAGTTCTCTAGGCATTGATCACTAGAGTGATCTCAGCAAGAGATATACAAGGGAAAATAGCATGTGCTGAGTAAAATAATTTAATGAAAGAGCTCCTCTTACTGAGGGAAGAAAAATCTGTCTGTCTTTGGACAACTGAATCTTTAATTCAGTCATCACTAAAAAGTGGCTTCAGAGGCTCCATTACACACAGATAACACTGGATGTCACTAAGCTGTTCAGTAAGGTGCAGAATGATACAAGGAAGCACTATTTATGGTCTCCAGCAGAGTTCTTCTGTAGTTTCACCAATCTTTTTTATTTGTTTCCTTAAAAAAATAATCAGTAACACATTGTCTTGTGGCCACTTTAGCTAAAAATGAAGAAAGACTAAAAAAATAAATTATCTAGTACTTGCACTTCTCCATCACTGGTGCCAATTGCAAGGCAAGTTCCTTCTTTTATCCAAGCCAGAGATGAAACATATTTGGAACTGGAATTCAAATCAATGTTTTCAATGGCTTGAAGAGTTCCTCCATTCCAGATGTGTGCAGCAGGTCCTACAGCAATAGCAATGAGATTTTCAAGGCTCCAGTCCAGTATGTTTAGATCTAGAAAAAAGCTACTAAAAATTATGGCAAAAAAGTTGTAGGTAATCGGATGGGGTGAGGGGAAGTACGGTTTGGGAAAGAGAGGCTTTTTTTTTTTTTTAATAGCTATGGAAAAACTTCAAGAGAATGCTTCTATGAAACCATTACTAACAAGTATCCCTCCTACATGAAGGAGAGTAACAAGCCAAGGTCTTCATAAGGCTAATATTCACAAACTGGTATGTTTGCACAGCAGGATCTGAGTTACAGCTTTCCCACTAGAATTTTTTAATCTATTACCCTGCATTTTGGATTGCCATATCACTCAACTTCAATTTCTCCCACCAGAAATGAGGATTCTCCACCAACAGCTACAGTTCCGAAACCACCCTTGTTCCAAGGTAATTTTTGTTATGGAGAAAGACACAGGAGAGAGTCTATATGCTACAGGCTGTCCTACATGGGTTAATGGTAACATTTACCCTGCAAGTGACAAGAAAAAAAAATGCAGAATGGAATTAGGGAAATTCTGCTCCTCACCTTCAGAGCTTGCTCAGCAAGCATATGACATAAATACTGTTTCCACTGCCCATGATGCTGGATGCACTGTACCTGCAGATCCTGGCAAAGCAAGTCACTACAGTGGTTAGCCTCAGAACAGCCTGCTATGTCAGGCAGACCAGAAGAAGTTCACATACAACACTTAATACCAACCCAGGACATTCTCCCATGTCAAAGGAAATCCTCAGGTGTCCATTTAGGGCAGCTTAAAAGTCATTTTGCATGACCCCTGAAGCACAGAAGATTGTTACCAAAGGCCAAGGTCTGACATCATATGTTGGTAACTACAATCACTCTGAAGAACAGCTGAATCCATCAGTCAGCTGTTTGACTACAGACCTGGTTGTTGCAGCCAGAAATAAGTATTAAGAAACCACTTTGGAAGACTTCTGTTAGAGCTGTTAGTCTTGGTACACACTTTGTCCACAATCAGTATAAATCACACAAACAAATCTTTGTCCTGTTCACAGACATACATGAGCACTTGCAAAGATATGTTGAAAAAAACTCCACAGGGACAATTACAAACACTCGCACATACAGAGTTGTTCATTATGAAGTGTTACAACATGTATTTGCTGCTGTAGACTAGAGATCCACGTGTATTCATATGTAACTTGTGCAAGTTTAATTTCTGCAATTTGTGCATGCTTTATTTTTGCCTGTGCACAACCAAAGACATAAGTGAGAATTTAGTTCACAAGGTATCTATCATCCAAATCGTAAACAATGTCACTGATGTCTCCCAAAATAAGAGATTTCAAAGTCTGCCCAATAAAGTTTACTGCTGTGTTGACTGGCTGCTAGATATCCAAGGCTGACAGCTGAAATGTTTAACTTAATCAAGCAGAGGCAAGTACGTTGGTTTGATTTGAAAGTTGTGTTGAGATCTACAGCTGAAGCAAACTGCTTGACAGTTAGGCAGTATTGATTCTAGGGTTTTAGCAGTCATGTCTCCACCCTGGGACAGGCAGTTTTCAAAGATGCATCCTTGTAAGAAAAACGACATCATGCATATGTCCTGCAGAGTTTTCATTTTACATGAAGCAGACACACCTTCACTGCCTTTCTTGAAACATACATAAGAATTCCCAAACTCTGCACAAACCACCACAGAGGAGAAATTAACTTACAGTAATCATTGCGCAAGCCGGTAATATGAAACCCCACTTCTGGCTCCAATGGTATGGAAGGCTTCACGATGGTAACAGCTCTAAACTCACTCTGGGTCCCCTCTCGGCACCCTGTATGTGAAGATTCATTACATAGAAATCAGTAATGCAAAAGACCACCAGTTTTTCTCAGGCATAAGCCTTTCACATTCTCACCATATTTGCCTCTCCACGGTCCAGAGAAGGCCAAAAGGGTCTAATTTATTGCTGGTAGGCTCAAAGCGTTAGACACACCAAACTAGGCAAAAACCTTTTACCACCTCTTTAAAACTTCCATGGATTTAGTCAGCTAGAATGGAGAATAGGGCCCACTGTAATTTGTTTGAATTGCACCATAGGTCAACACAGAACGTGGGGTTTTTTTGCCTTTTTTGCCTTTGTATTCCATCAAAAGTTGCTAGTAGCAGAATGCTTCATATGTGCTCTCCCACTTCAAAATCCCCTCATACAGCCATTAACTTCTTTGCTTTCTGGTGTTAATTTCCCACCAAAAAGGTTTCCCCCATCAACAGCTAACCACAGGAAAAGGTTTTTAAAGCTCACACATTTTGATCATAGCAATCAAAGAGATCTAAGCTTGTGGACAACACATCAGCGAGAAACAAAAGCCAATACAAGTATGAGCAAGCAGACGAGTCATCCTTTGTGGTCATTGTCTAAGTTCTGCTGCAAATACTCTTAACATCATAGAGAAAAAGCCAGATCATTAGTACTATGAATCATTTAATGCTAGATTTTTATGTGTAAGAAATTATCTTGCTGTAATGTGCAGAGCAGAAAGCTGGAGATTCACATTTCTGCGCTTTTCTCTGTGTTTTGACTTCCTTTCTGAACTATTCTCCAGAGAGGAGTATTTAGAATGAATATCAAAAGTTTCATGGACAGAAGACATTGCTTCTTATCTCTACACTTAGCCTTCTCTGTTCAAAACAATTCAACAATGACAAAGATTTTGTACTCTGTAACTTAAATATACACACAGACATCCTATATGGAAGTCCAATGACAAATTGTAGAGAACTTCTTTCACACAGTCCTTCCCTACTCTGTCCTCAGTCTTCTCCCCTAATTCAAAATTCATTTCTGCCAGACAGCTGTGGTACAGCCTCTCTCTCTCTCCAAACCAAGACCGAAGATGAGGAAGAAGCAGGCCACAGTGATTTTCTTCTGTATCTAAAATCTTGTGGAGTTAGACAAATCAAGCAGGCTTGCAGGAACGACCTTCTCCGACCCTCCCAATGGGATATATAACATTGCATTTTAACCCTAAGAAGGTCTATTATCACTGAAATGAAATTTCTCTGTACAGAAAAACCTGTATTTCTAATATCTAGATTTTTGGTTATGTTTTGAAAACTTTACCAAACCTTTCTGAACCCAGATAGTAAGATAATTCAGGGAAACTGAGGCCCTTAATTGTAACAAGTCGGATGAATGGCAACACTTCTGAGACACTGAAAATATTTTTCTTCTTTAACATCAGTAGCTGGTATTGAGCAGTGAGATACAAAGGATGAAATCATCTCTGTAACCCATTTCAGATTTCTTTTCTTTCATGAGTAATGCATCTACCCCAAATTCACACTGATCACGCTTTCAGCTCTACTCACTTACTTCATAGACACACAAATGTGCATAACGGACTTTTTAATAAGCTTCATTACAGTATTTTGTGTTACTTTGTCTGCCCATTAGCAGATATCACTGACTTTTGATAGGATTTTAGCTCTCACATGCTTGTGTCACTTCTCAAAATGAGACTCAGGAAGTGGTAAGTAGTCAGTACTGTCACACCACACCACTTCATCAACAAGTAGCTGGGTGGAATAAGACCCAGTATTCCTGATACTTGTATTCATTTGCCATCAAGAAAAAAACCACTCTGACTAATTCCTATACTGTTGCTATTGACTGCTCTGAAATGAGTCTTATTTGCATGGAGAAGAGCAACAAAGGAATATATAAATCCACCACATAGCCCCCAGCTTCTACAGAAGCCGAACTACAGATTCATAAAGCAGCTGTTTCTCACTGTTTTTACATCAGCATGAATCAGGCCCTGACCGGAAGAACCCATCATCCACAGAAATAGCCAGATCACAAAAACAAATCATCTATCCAAGACAGAACACAACAAAATATTGGTATGATATTTAATGAACGGCCTCATACTCATGTAACTCTGGGAATATCTGTATTATTTCACAGGTTAGCCCCTCACATCCAATCGCCTGATCATTCACACTCCCTTATGCTCATTCACTCCTAGGATATCTTTTGGAGCAAATTAACCAACCCCCTGCAGATGAAACAAGAGGCAGTACTATGGACAGTTTGCTCCAGATACCTTTTCTTACAGGTAGGAGCAACAAAACTCCACCATCTCTGCATGCCTTGCACTCTCATGTACCCAGCAGTCCACATGAAACATACCCTGCGCCTATTCTGCAGCACCACCCCACCTATTTCTTGGGTTCTAAAACTGAAAAGCCAAAAGGAAATTAATGTTTTAGGGCCATCAATGCAAGAGATGGGGCCTAAAGGAGAGCCAGGTAAAACACTAAGGGTTAACCACACTGGAAGAGGTGGAATATTATCTCTCCACAGACGGTGAGAATTCCAGAAGTAGACCCAAGCAACATAGGTCTCAGCCACTTCACATTCTTCTGTAACACTTGCTGGAACAGGTAGATGCACTTGCTTTTCAATAGATGCAGCCTGCTGTATCTTACTGTTCAGTGTGCATGAGAATATCTGCTATATTGGAACATACCTTTCCAGATGCAATTGGTATTCTCACAGACCTTCATGTCAGCACTTTCTGCAACACTATATCCAATCTTCTGGACCACTGGAAGCTGAGAAGGACATTTCTGCCATTACAATGAAGCGAAAACATGACTGAATGAAGAAATCTGTCAAAAAACGTACTTAACCATCACAGATAACACAACTCCCATCAAAGGGCTCAACGCTCATTACTTAAAAGCTTCAAAAACAGCTTGTCTCTTGTATGGGAGTTCAATAACAGTACAGAATATCAGTGTCCAAATCATGTGCTCTAAACTTGAGCCACCAGCTTTCCTTCCACAAAGCACCAACTCACTGCTACTGATCACACAAACTTTAACAAAGCTGTCTGAACAAGGCCATCATATCGGTGGAACAGGTCCCAGGCCCTGTACATCTCTAGGTACTACCACAGGTCACCTGACGAACCTGAGTGCCCTCTTGTCCTCTTCTGAACTGGCATTTGGGCCAATTTTACCAGCAGATAATGCCATGTTTTCTGCATGCAGATAGTAAGTCTGATGCCTCAGGCTTGCTCTGTGAGGAAAGATCAGTTTTGTGGTGCATACACTGCCAGGCCACTGATTCCAGTATGAGACCTACTGGATGTCAGAGTCCTCTCTCAAACCAGAGTCCCAGAGCCTTGACTCCATGACTCCATTCCTTAAAACATTATTACAATATGAAACTGAAAAAATATACAAGGTGTCTCAAAGGAATAAGATATTTTAATTACTTTATCATTTCCCTGGACGTCAAAGAAACAGATGATGCATCAGACAAAGACAAGTTATTGGAACCTTTTTTTTTTTTCAAATAGCTTAGGCCTTTAGCCAAGATTCAGGCAAAGGCTCAGATCAGCTCACAAAGGGTATGAATCTCTTCACCAACCCCTAGTAATATGCATTTCTTCACAACGTTCACCGCTGAATGCTCTGATGTCAGTTGTCTGTTTGGTCTGTAATTCTTTATTTACGGTCAAGGGGAAATGCAGCTATTTTTATCAGTCACTCAAGATTAGTACGTTCTTCCTCCTATGTCTGTGAAATCTGTCCTTCCAAGCACACTCAGTGTTACTCTTCCTCAAAACCTTCCCGTAATCACAATAAGAAATGTCTTACAAAAACATAGTTTGTAAAAAAGTATTCCTCCTTTATATATCCCAAATGTTCTACAGCAGGCCTTCAGCTTTGAGAAGCACTTTCTGCATGATTTATGTAGACAACTTGGCAGAAAGCTAATGAGACTGCTTGGATCTGTGTCCCTCTAAAACAAGTGCAGACATTTCTGTGGCAAATCAACTGTGTATACAAGGAAGTAATCTTTTGGCCCACAAAGAGACCACACACCTTCACTGGAATGTGAGAAGATTTTCTTTTCAATGCATCCCATCTCTTTATGCTACCAGGCAGCACACATTAAATAGTCATTATTATGTCTAAGAAGATTAACAGATTTTCATATAGTTTTAGCCAGGACTGACTTCCAAATGGTTTTAGGAAGAACTTGTGTTTTGGTCATCCCACTATGTTATCTCAAAGACCCCCACATCACACTTTTAGTAACTGGTTGTGGTCCTTGAAGTAGAAATCCAAGTATCTTAGTTCTAACTCGACTCCTGCTTGTAAATTACAGTGTAATTCTCGGTAAGTCTCTTCACTGTAGAGATGAAAGACTGACACACGGAAGACTGACACACGGTCCATATTGGGGCCAGTACTGTTTAGTATCTTCATCAGTGACACAGACTGCGGAATCGAGTGCATCCTGAGCAAGTTTGCAGATGACACCAAGCCAAGTGGTGCAGTCAGCATGCCTGAGGGACAGGATGCCACCCAAAGGGACCTGGACAAGCTCAAGAAGTGGGTCCATGTGAACCTCATGAGGTTCAACAAGGCCAAGCACAAGGTCCTACACCTGGATCAGGGCAACTCCCAGTATCAGTACAGGCTGGGGGATGAAGGGATTGAGGGCTGCCCTGCTGACAAGGACTTGGGGTACTGCTGGATGAAAAGCTGGACATGAGCTGACAATGTGCGGTCACAGCCCAGAAGGCCAACCATATCCCAGGCTGCACCACAAGCAGCGTGGCCAGCAGGTCAAGGGAGGGGAGTCTGCCCCTCTGCTCCGCTCTCATGAGAGCCCACCTGGAGTCCTGCGTCCAGTTCTGGAGCCCTCAGCACAGGAAAGACATGGAGCTGTTGAAGTAGGGCCAGAGGAGGCCACAAAAATGATACAAGGGCTGGAACACCTCTCCTACCAGGAAAGGCTGAGAGAGTTGGCGCTGTTCAACTTGGAGAAGAGAAGGCTCCAGTGAGACCTTACTGCAGCCTTCCAGTATGTAATCGGGGCCTATAGGAAAGATGGGGACAGACATTTTAACAGTCCCTGTTGCTAAACTAGCTAAAAGAGGGCAGATTTAGACTAGATATAAGGGAGAAAATTTTTACGATAAGGGTGGTGAAACACTGGAAGAGGTTTCACAGGGAGGTGGTAGATGCCCCATCCCTGGAAACATTCCAGGTCAGGTTGGACGGGGCTCTGAGCAACCTGATCTAGTTGAAGATGTCCCTGCTCATTGCAGGGGGGTTGGACTAGATGACCTTTAAAAGGTCCTTCCAACCCAAACCATTCTATGACTCTGTGACTAAGAGTGAAGACAATGACATGTACTCCTCTCTTAAAAGATGTTACATTTTAAGGAAGAACGTTTCACATACATCATTTCACAGAAAGTTCTTCTCATCTCACAGAAAAGTTTTATTTAATTTCTCTGTGGGGTAGATTCAACTACTAAACCCATTGAGTTGTGTCTCTTAACAAGTCTAAAATTCACAGACTCTCCAATCATACTGTGGAGGGGCGCAGGAAGGAACAAAGCACTGTTGTTGAAAGGAGGAGTTTCAAGACTATTTTGCTTATTTAGAAAGGAAAGTAATTGCCCTGAGAACCAGGTTTCCCAGAATGATGTAACAGCACAGTCTTTTTCCAACATCCAATGACCTTCAAGAGTACAATTATTACAAGATATCACTCAGCAAGTGTGTTAGCCCCCCTGTCCTGCTAACGCCTCCTCTTCTTAGAATTTGAGCTTGTTACCCTCACAGACACCCCTCAATAATAATAATTCAGGTTTCTAAACCACTATAAGCAAGAATGTTGAGTATACATCTCTGAAGCAGCCTTACTCAACAGTTATGGTCAAAGAAAGCAACCATGTGAAAACAGCTATCAGCATCTTCAATACTGACTTTGCAACAGGAGCAATCAAGGAAAGGAGAGCACAACAAAAAGCGTGGTCACTGACTAAAAGTTTACAGCTTAAGATACGAACAGTCACAATTAGGTAGCACTAAAATAGAGAAGTGTTTTTGAGTGTAACGTTCTGGTAGTAACTTTTAGTAATACAGACACGTATCACTATGGTTCACATGAGAAGTCAATTTTCAAGAAGTTACTGAATAGAAACAGGTGGGTGGCTGGAGCACAGATTTATTTAAGATGAACAAAAAAGCAACAGATAATGCCTAAAAAGAAAAAAAATTAGTGTGTTAGTGTCCACTAGGAAAAAAATGAGGGGATAAAGTGTACAGCAATAGAAAATAATACCAAAATGGGAAGTGATCTGAAGTCTTGTTTCCACGTTAGGTAGATACCGTGTGTTCTTTCATCCCTGGCCAAGAATCTGACATTCTATTGTCATGACAAAAAACTTTATTCTCAGAAAGCTACTTTTTGGCAAATTTTTCATAGCACCTCATTCTGTCTACATGACAAAATTAACATCTACATCCTGCACAACTGAAGAAATCATCTTCCTCACACACAGTGGTTATTAAAGCAAGTGGAAAACTGAGTCATTCACGATTTTCGTGTGTATCTTTTACAATACACGTTTTCCCTCAGAGGTAACAAACTCATCTTCAGGGCTTTGTTAGCTTGGTTTTGATTTTAGTTTGCAGAACAATAGCCTGGAGGAAATGGACAGAAGCTGAATCAAATAAATGACAAAGCAATTGCTCCTGACATTTCTCTAGTAGTCATTTCCTAAGTGAACCTCCTCATGTTACTGTTCTGCATATCAATAAGGTAGTACATGCATAACAAGATTCCAGGCCAAAGATCAGGTAAAAAAAACACATCAGGAAAGCAAATACACTACCCATGCATTTGAATGTTGCATTACTCACCTGCTTCTTTTCCACTTCCATTTCAGCTCTCCTGTTATTCCTCCCTTCCAAGCCTGCTGCAGCATGACTGTTACGTAGAGTCACAACACTTTTCGTGATGGAGAGTTCCTCAGGCACCTGAGGTGTCACTGGAAAAACAATTTTAATGGAAACAATTCCTTTAAAAACTACACACAGGGATATTTGTTAACTACTTTTCAGAATAGCTCTGATTTCATAATAGCAGTACTCTAAAAGCAGACCTGACACATTAAGTGGGACAATGCAGATACTGATATTTGAACCAGTCACCCTGCTTTCCTTCTGTCAGTGAAAAGAGACATTTCTACAGCATTACTCATCTCATCCTAAAAGAGATGTCTGAAAACGGTCAGATTGATCACTCCCATTATAAAGAGTGCCCGTTTACTACTGCAGCTCACATCCAGCCTTAGATTCATTGACTGGTTACAAAGGATCTTACCCATAGAAAATCAGTATCTGTTTTCCCAGAACAATACAGTCTTTCACCACTGCTAGGAGAGAAAGCATGCAGGACTTTCTGTTCTAGAAACTGAAGTAGGGAAAACTTCACTGTGTTTTAGAACCTGAGTTTTCTAGAGCTGAGCAGGTATTATTGAACAGCTCTGGTATTCTGCTTAGCAGAAAATAAAACTGCACTTTCTGACCAACTGCCATGGCATTGTATGAACACATCCTGAACACTAAACAGCATCTTCTATTTGCTCTCTAAAGATTTCAATTATTAATCAAGAAATGAGCCATGTTTAGTTCCCTATATCTTCCAGGAAGCTCTTCTTGTACACAGAGCATGTAAACCCTTCCTCACTTTCCCCTGGCACTGCTAGGAGTTAGTGAGTTCAAAGGCTCATTTAACCTTTCGTCAGCTCCCTCTGTTGTCGACGGAACGAAACAGCCTCTCCTAGAGTCAGCTCTTCCCAGACCAAGGCAGAGCACTGCAAGTTATGTGCTCCGAATGGCCCTCGGGTAAGTCTCTCCCTAAGGTGAGCTGAGTGCGAGTGTCCCTTTGTCAGCACTTGAAGCCTTACACATTGGAGGACAGACAATAACACAGGGCAAGCTTCTCCTTCAGTGAGCGTACACTACACCACATCCAGGCAGGCCGACTGGTCCAAGTTCCATTGTTAGGGCTGGGACTGCAGCAGCTGTGTGTAAGGGCAAGGAGAAGCAGAAGGAAGGGAAGGAGAAAGGCCTGTACGAATTCTCCTGCCAGTTACTGTACCCATTCCAGATCTGAAGGTGCAGCAACAAACCCTGTGTGCTGCTGCAGCCCAGTGCAGCTGAAACCCAGTCCAATACAGACCCCATCGTAGAGCAAAAAACATTGGTCTGCAGCAGGCATTGCTTGGCTCGGGATAAGACTTTCTTTTCTCTCTTTCGTTTCACCCCACCTTGACTTCGCTGTCTGTATGGCCTGCTGTCCTAGGCTACCCAGCTGTCCTCACACCACAGCAGTGTACGCCTGCCGAGGGGACGCTCTGCCCGTGAAGGTCTGCACTGACCGCAGCTGCCGCCACATCCAGTGCCCTCGGCAACGGGACACCAGGGAACACCAACCCACACCTGCGCTAATTCCCCGCTCCGGGTAATTTCAGAAGTCCCTGCGTGAGGCCATCCGCTCCACGAAGCCGTCCCTTCCTCCCGTCTGACCTCACAAGGCCCGACGATGGGTCCGGCCGCCGCCTCTCGCGTGCAGCTGCTGCCATCTCGTGACAACGGGGCTGCTCGACACCGCAGCCCTGGCCGCCAGCTTCCTCGTAATGGAGCGCTTAAACCTGGAGTACGCGGTGCTCTCCGAGCCTGGGACCTGCGCCAGGGAAAGGAGACAGAACACCACCATCCGTCCCGGCCCACTACCACCCCGTCCCTTCATGCCGGGTCAGGCTTTCCTCTGCCACGCCGCCTGGGCTCAGCCCGCCTCGGAGCAACAGGCCACGGAAATGGATGTTGGGCGCTGGATGGCTCCAGCAGCCAGTCACCTCGGTGGTGACAGCAGGGATCATAAGAAATGCGAAACTATAACAAAGAAGATTTAATATTTTCCAGTTGTTAGTAGTTTTTATTATTGCAGTTTGTATTCCTGCATGCATAGTGACCTAATGATGTAACTGTTAGACTAATCCCTGTTTCGATTAAGGAATGTACTGGATGAATGTTGGCACAAGTTATCACTTTAAGTTGTTAGACAAAATAATTAATTCAAACAAAAGCAGTCCTGGTCCTCAGCGAACAACTGGGGTAACTGTAGGATAAAAGAGGCTCCTAAATAATTCCACTCCAGACAGCTCGGCCTTGGGAGGGCAGAGGCACCAAGCTACAGAGATAAGGAGGCACCGAGACGGCAACAAGACCAGACCAAAACAACCTGGAATGACACAGTATACTGATCTTAGAAATGAGTCCACGCAGAAACAAAGGTCGACCAGCAGACACTGTGATGAGGAGCTTAAGCCTTCATCTTAGGACCCCCAAAGACCACCCGAGGATGCTAACAGACATGCATGAAAGACATTAACATATGCTAATTAGTTATCAGAAAAGTCATGAATATGCTAAGCATTTCTTGGACGAATATGTATATTGTGATTGTATTTAACTTGAAATGACAGGGTGTTTGGTGCAGGCGTTTGGAGGAGAGATCCCCTTGCGTGCCTGGTGCTGTAATAAAGGATATCTGCATAACAGTACACATCGTACTGTTAGGTTTTTTTTTACTGGATCTTTGAATCAGCAGAGAAAGAGGGAGGAAAAAACAGAAAAAAACAAATGTTTCTCTTCAGATAAGTACCCCTGAATCAACAGTCACACAGAAAGCCTGTGGCAGAGAAAAAAACCTAAATCTGCATCACTCACGCACTAGGCTATGGCACTGGCCTTTGGAAGACCCAAGGCATCTTCAGACATTTAGCGTAGGCTCACGGATCTGGTCTTTCCAGAGAGATGGGCATTTGGGCAAAGCCACACGTTGGCTGTCTGGAACCAGGCTGGTTTTTATTACTGTTAATGTTATCTTACACTTTTTAATCTATTCAGGCATACTAAATAAAGATTAAATGACAGATTACACTTCTTACTTTCAAATTCAGTCATAGAGCAATTTGTCAGAGAAACATAAAACACAAGAACATACTGAAATCTGAAATGTAAGAGCCTAGATAATACTGAATACAAGATTTTGTTTTTCAGTTTTAAAGCAATGTTTTAGGTGACAGTAACAACAGTAAGGAAGCATAGGAGGTATAATAGGCTTCTGGATCATTAGCAGGTACTCCAGGAAATATTTATAATATATTTAGTATTGTAATTTTTTTTATTTCTGAAATACTAGATTCATATTACAAGCCGTTGAGATGTAACTTAGACACCAGGATCTTGCATGTGTTTTCTGAAATCAAACACTTTCAAACTTGCTTTTAAAGCCAGCATTAGTCACCTGTGTTTGGCTGCTGAGAACAGCTTTGATCATTTCAGCACAGAAGTCTGTGCCTTCTCTGTCCCCACCACCGAAACACCACACTCACAGGCCTTATTGCCAGGCAGAGATCAAGGCTCACACGTCCTCAGATCACAGGAAACACCCATATAAATACTGGAATTTCCCAGTATTTCCCAAGCATCTCTCTGTCATGCAGAACTGTATGAAACTCACTTTTTAGTCTAGTTAAACTGAACAAACATGGACTATAGCTATTTAGAGATTACAGAAATGGCTGAACACACTACTATGATATTGTACTAATCAAGAATAGTTGAGGTGATACTGAAGTCACTGAAAAGCAACAGACTCCCAGATTGCAGGTTTCACCTTCAGAAAGTCCCATTCTGTTCTCATCCTTTTAACTGTAGCGTCTAAGAGCAGCAAAAAAATCGGGAAGAGAGGGAATAGCAAATGGACAGAAAGAGGGAAGAACTGAGCAAGGGAAGACATGAAGAAAGACAATTTTATTTTTTCCATAACTGAGTTGTAACCACTACACATTGCTGTACCTTCAGAAAGCAAGAGCAACAGGCAAACACCTTTAAAATATAAAACAATATAATGAGGACAGATAAAACACCAGACTTGCGTGGCTGTAAAGTTCTGAGTGTCTTTCACAATTGCCTCAGCAAAACACCACTGGAGCTGCCTGGCTTATACCTGAGATTCTCAGTTAACTCATTCGTCTCTTGTACAGACCTTCCATCTTCTCATCTCAGCACTGCTAGTTGCCCAATGGCCAGCAGCAATAAAAAAGCAACTAATTTTCCACCATCAGTGCCCCTCCATTACCAAAAAATCCCATTTTATTATCTTCCCATATGCCAGCCTGTAATCAAGGAGTTTTCCTCTGCCCCATGCGCTGCAGCAGTTTTACAAACAAAGCTGCCCGTGATGCCACCGCAGCTGACAAGAGGCAGGACTGAGAATGTAAACGGGGTGGTTTCAGCCATACCGCCTGCTGTCTACCTGAGCTCCTGGCCCCCAGCCCGCTTCTCCAGGTCTGTCTGATGCTGCTGAACGTCTCTGCCAGGGATGGCGGAGGGGCCTGGGGATGTGCTGGAGCTCCACAACAGACCCTCAGTAGGCCCCACTGGCTTGCAGTGCAGTGCGCAGACGGGCACGGGAGTAGCCCACACGGGTCAGTTAAATGGAGCAATCAGCATCCTTCAGTGATGGGAACACACTTTTCACTCATTTATTTTACTTTTTTTCCCAGAAAGATTTCTGTCCTTCACTAAAGAAGTCTGCAGCCCAGCAGAGGCACTGTGACACGAAACAGACCCGTCCACAATAGGGACAAAATGAGCGGCTTGTTCTTCCCAGTCCGAGCTGTGAGTTTCATATTTCAGCTCCTCCTTCACATTCCAGGCCTGCCCAGGCTCCTCTCCCAAGATTTCGAAAATGGAGCCTCTCACAACTACTTATCCTCTGAAATACTCAGTGCCCAAAGCCAGGGTGTTTGCTGTCTTTCTGTCAATGGTTTTCTGTACCGCCATTCTCTGCCTGCTGCAACTCAGATTCTTTAAACCTAAAATCAAAGATTTTTATTCTTTCGAAGTCAAGGATTCACGAGGAAGGATCGTTTCCTTGGAGAAGTACAGAGGGAAAGTAAGTTACAACTTCATTATATCATTGTCTTGAATCTCTACTGAAAAACAGGTATCCCTTTGTAGGTCGAAAGTTTGGTTGTGGGATTTTTCAGCATAGATTTGTGCTAAATGCCTATTCTTCCAACAGTAAACTGGAGAGGAATTTATTTTCTCTAGGCCTGCTCCAGAAATTAAGTATTAGATCTAATAAATCAAGAAAAATGTTTTTTTCATATTCTTTATTATAAGTCATTATAGCCTAACAATACAATCCATACATTTTAATCTTAGTTAAGAATGGTAGCATGTTGTGTTGAATTCTGGAAGCTGATCTAGTAAATATGATTTTAGTGCCTGTCCTAAATACCTGCTTTTTTATATACTTACATTTAAACAAAGCTATAAGTTGAAGTTCATCCATTTATTGGATTTTTAGAACAGGCTGTCCAAAAGTAAATACGTTAAACTGCTATCATCCTCATCTGTTTAATGAAATTATGATCAAAGTTAGCTTTCCGACAGGAACGACTGTGGTAGGGGGAGATGCTATTTTAAGACTTAATTGTAATCTGTATGCCATCTCTACACTTTTTTTCTTACTATTATAACTTTATTTCTCTGAAGGCAACTTTGGTTGTAAACGTGGCCAGTCACTGCCAACACACAGACAAAAATTACATCGCTCTGCAAGAACTCCACAGAGAGTTTGGTCCCTCCCACTTCACTGTGCTGGCTTTTCCCTGCAACCAATTTGGAGAATCAGAGCCCAGCTCAAGCCAGGAAATAGAATCATTTGCCAAAGGAAATTACGGAGTAACCTTCCCAATTTTCCACAAAATCAAGATCCTAGGATCAGAAGCAGCGCCTGCCTTTAAATTTCTAATAGGTAACTTTTCTTTTATATATCAAGCTGCCCGTAACCATGGTATTCTCCCTACATTCTGGTCTGTCTGTCAGGAAACATCGTAGTCTTCATAGTCTATGGAGAGAAACAGGCACTCAGCATACAATTCGTCTTGTTTCAAAGTGGATATCAAAAATACGGTCAGAAGAGTTGCACCCTGAAAGCATCCATTTCTCCTCACTGATTATAAAAACAGCCTACTGTGGCGAGCCTAGCTAGAAACATCCATTTTGTGGGTGCAGAAACTTGAGTGCAAAGATTCCCACCTACAAAATCCCATTTCAAGTTACATGACTTTTGTTGAAAAACAATTTTTCCTATGGACAAAGATGTATAGGGGGGTCATAAAATTACATGAAGATTTTTCATAAATACATGCAGATGAGAGGATTCATTTTTTTAGCAGTCATATGTCCACCTTTATGTAAACTGTATTGTAAACCAGGATTATATACGCTGTAGTTATATGTAATCACTGATTTGCATTAATTCGTCTTACGAACTTCAGGGTCCAGCCTGCAAAACCCACTCACACAAATACTCCTGTTGCAGCAAGCATTTACTGACTTAAAACTTCATACTCTCACAAGCAACATGAAACTCTCTTCAGTTGACCACAGAGCTCTTAGACCCAAAGCCAGCTTGAAAAGCCGCTCTGAATTTTCCTGAGCTTTGGCCAGGTCTTTGCCCCATACTAAACACTGGTTTGAAAGAAAGTATAACTAGAACATAATCCTTCTCTATCACATCATTTGAACTAGAAAATAAGGTAGGGGAAGGCTCAAACCTCTATTCCATCTCCCTGCCCCAAGACAGGATCACAGTGGCCCTAATCAGTACTACCTGTGCTTCTCCACATTATTACAGCAGTCGTATGAGCAATTCCAGAACCTCCCAGTCTATTCCAGTTCTTAACAGCTCCTCTTGTCAGAAAGCTGTTTCAACATCTAAATTAAATCTTTCTTACACCACTGAAGTGTGTTACTTCTTGCCATATCCTCTGTGATGCCTCTTATCTACTTGAAAATTATTAACATTTAGGAGTCATTTAAGTGGTCTGGTCACCGTTGTCACTGTAACTGTTTCTTCCTGCCTCCCCTTAGGCATGTCACCAAAGACCGCAGGGTAAAGTGTTGTTGCTCTGAGTTGCCCGATGTCCAATGGAATTACTGAATGCACTCTGGAGGTTCTTCTCGGTTCATTACAGTGGCAACTAGAGCACGTAGGTACCAGCTGAGTGGGATGAATGCAGATTCTAGCTACCAGTGCAATACCTACACAGAAACAGAACAGCCAGATTCACTCAGTTGGTTATTTGACAGGCTGTTCACCCACAAGAAAGAGAAAGATCCTCTGGTACTTAAATATTCTGAAATAAGATCTTTCTCTTGCCGCATTTCTCTGCTTCACATGAAATTACTGTGGATCTTCAATTAAAGAAGCACCTGTTTTCTTCATGTAGCCATGCTGACAATCAGAAGGTTGAACATATTCATGCTACACCCTCTTGTGACTGTGACTGCTAGCTACGATTTGTGCAGCACTGTCAGACAGCCTAGTGCAAAACATGGTGCCAGGGCCTTTACACAACTGCTTCTAGTTGCTTTGACACCAGTAAGGCATTTTGTTAGTCCAGTGCAATGTTTGTGGCCTCACCTCTCCTCAAATAATGTCCAGCTTCCAATGTGTTGTATGAGTTATTCATATGGATTGATGCACACTAGAAGAATATTCAGAGATGTGGTTATGTTACTTCAAGACTGATCCTAGATACAACAACTCAGCAAAGACAGAATCACCAGCTGCGCCAGAGCCTCCAAGACATGAGCATTACCATAGCCATTTGCTTGCCATGGTGTCCCCTTACAGTTGTGACATTACAAATGTAGTCCAATAGCAAAATTCAACCCATTGCTTCCAAGAATCAGTGTAGAGTTCAGGACTGTTCCCCACCAGACACCTATTCCCCAGTCAAAATCTGGAGTTTTCTTCTAGTTCTTCTCTCAAAAAGAGATTTTCCTTTAAACCCGTGAGACTCCAAGGACAAAGCCAGAGTCAAGAAACTGCTTCTGCTAGGAGTCGCATAGTTTCCTGATAGTCCCTTAACCTCAGAAATTATCTTGCCAGCTATTCATTATAACAAAGATACCAGTAAAGTTTCGCCTTATGGGATGAAAGGAGCTGAATTAAGCCATCCCCTGCATGACTTCCTGCTCCCATTTCACTTCCCCTAAACCAACATAAAACTGGAGATTGCCCAAATAAGAATGCAGCCCTCATATCCTCCTCTTTAGGAAGCAGAGGGTAGTAAAAGTAGGAATCCTTAAACAGTTTCACAAGAAGGGGAAAGCATCATTCACTTCCCACTTTTCAGATCATTAACACCAACCAGTAAATCCATGCCTGAGACTACTAGCAAAGAACAAAGTGAGATTACTTCAGCATAAATAGCTGAAGAATCGCTGCAGGGTAATGAAACAATGACAAGTGTAAGTCACTAAAATGATCTGATGCAATTCTTACAGATTCTTCAAAGAAAGAGCCTCGATGGAATTTCTGGAAATACCTTGTCAACCCTGAGGGTAAAGTTGTGAAATTCTGGAGACCTGAAGAGCCCATAGAAAGTATCAAGCCAGAAGTAGCATCATTAATCAGGCAGATTATCATGAAAAAAAGAGAAGACCTCTGAAAAAGCCATTCATACTGTGAATCCATTCAACAGCATGGGTACACAGCCTTACTACACTCCAAGGAAATGCTGCTAGAAGCTAAACCATCAGGTGATTTTACTTCTCTTTGTCGTTGGTATTTTCAGCTACACTATGTCTATTAACATTGGTTTGGCTCCCGCAACAGCCTTGAGCACCACTGAGGTTACTGAGAATGGCGAGGCACTCAGTGCCTTGCAGGATGGACCTTCAATTTTCATAAAGTTTCTGAATGTTTCTTTAAATTGCTGACGACAGCTAATTACAATTGTCACCAGAAGGGAGATAGCTAAAAAGAACAGGATTTGTTGATAAATTACTCAGTATTTGCACAGAAGAGATTTATTTCCCATCTACCAGTAACAAACAGATTTTGATATTCCATTAACACATAATTGCCCTGACTGAAAGACATGAGGCCCAGCAGTATCATACCAGGGTTTTTAGAGACAAATGCAACTGAAGATACCACCTTTGCAATATCTTCTCGAGGAAGATTACTGAATTGTGAAGCTGTCAACTGAGTTGTAAAAAACTGTATGTAGAAAATAAAATTATTAAAAGAAAAAGAAAAAAAATCAAAACAATGTTTCCTTGCCTGCTTTTTGATTAATTTTACACTTCACCTTTACAGCAACACCTTTAACCTTTTTAGCCTTCACCAGACATTTGCACTGCAGCAGTGCCTTGGCTGTGAGCTACTCTCCTGCTGGATTCCCAGACTTCTGACCTGGATGAAGGCAGGGCCTATGTGAGTATACATCATCGCTTACAGCAGGATTCAGGGGGCAACAAAAATCAGCAGCCTGGCACAGTAACAGACATCTTTCTGAGACAATGCTCCCCAGCCATCTACCTCACATCTCTGGAATAAAACAGCAGTCTTCAAGTAGAGGTAGAAGCAAGGGATGAAGGTTCATGCCTCAAGCCCCACTCTTCTCACCTTGCATTCTCCCCAATCCTGCATGTAACTGCAAACCTATTTCCAGTTCTGTTCCACCGTCCCATTTCAAACTGCCGAGTGTTTTATCTGTTTGATGAAGGGAGACAGTAAATTGGAATAAGGAACCTCATTCCAGCTGTCCAAGTCTTAAAGGAGGGCCGAGATAACAGAAGCAAAAGAAAGCAGCATCTCAGAAGAGTTTTCTCTATGAAAAAGGACTGGTAGCAGTAGTGTTGTTCTCTTGTAAGACTAACAGTGACTGAAAATACATTAAGTGCTTCAAAACATTTTCCATAAAGACAGCCACTTAACTGTATTAAAAAGGTGAGAAATTAAAAAGTAAAAAAAAAGGTATGTTTTCATGAATCTGGAATTCCTTGAGAATTTCACAGAAAACCCCTGAAGAATAAGGACATCATAAGATTTTAAAAGACTGAGTAATGATATTGATGTGGAGGATTAAAAAAAAAAAAACAACACACCCTCAGTAATGACAACCATCATTTTGGGAGGGAAGTCAAACTTTATGCATGACAATTTTAGCCACTCTGACTTTCAGACATCAGTTAAGCGCTATGTAAAGGTCTAGTTAGTCCCAATGTGCCTACTGCTAGCATTTTAGACCAGCCTCTGAGCAGTTTGCCATTAGCCTGCAAGATTGCACATCCAATGTGCCAAGACAGTTCCTATTCTTACGCTGAGGCCCTGTGTTTTACTCCCATATGATTGTTCCTGTACAGTTCCAGCCCTGGGAACTTTTAGCAGAATATCTCAGCTGATTTTTGTCACATGTCCCTGATGCTTTGATGGAGCAGGAAGGGAACTGAGATCCAGATCCTCTCCCCTCACTAGGAGCAGTCTAGATTCCACAGAATTAAGTAGCAGGACACAATGTTTTCCCCATAAATGGCGGATGGTATCTTTACTTGAAAATGTGACTAAAACATGCATGTCAATTCATGCGCACTGCTATAGCTCCCTGCTTTTCGTATCACTGAATAAAAAAGGGTAGGTATAAAGACATGTTGCATGCTGTTAGGGGAACACCTGGAAAAAAAAAAATCTATTTTAGTGCTAGTATTGCCTGGGAGTTACTCAGCATATGGGAAATTTCACTTAAGTTCTTTAAATACCCTATGAAAGATAACAGTGCAGTATCATTGTCTAGTCTGGAAGGGATCACAAGGAAAGAGAGTGTGCACACCTTGCTTGTGATTCACTCGCTAAAACTCATACTCTGTTTTTCACAGGATACACTATAATCTTAAATAACTCAATGCCAGCATTAAGACCAAATATCTTTCCTGGTATTCAGAAATAGCATGGGATATTAGCAAGTGAGTGGACAGAATTATTTAACTCGCTGCTTCCCAAATTACTTGTACTTCAGATTCCTAGAAAAAGAAGGTTTTGTCTGACAGAAGAGTCACTGACTTCCTTATTTCACCATTTTGTCAGAATTCACTACAACCATCTTCTGTAGAAATTTGAATATAGGTATGATTCAGTCCTGAATCTATAAAGAGTTTAAGTTTCTCAAAGTTTACTGTTAACTAACATTTCTCCAAAAACTCAATATGTTTGTATTACTTATTCTTCATGAGACGTACCAGCTCTTCCAATGTAGTATTTAGGGCAGATCATCAATAAACTAACCGCTTCTTTCTTAAAACCAAGTTACCAGTTATCCAGGGTAAAAATAAAAAATTTTTAACTGCCAGATCTACACAGACTTAGAAAGGCAAAAAAAATCAAACGAAAGTTAGAACAAGCATGCATTTATCTATAGTCAAAAGCCAATAAAGTAATACAAATACATATTTGAATAAATATCCACTTACAGCTTATGTAGGATATTAAAAAATAACTGAACTACAAATGCTAGAAACAGATTAAGACCTATTTAGTGGATTCTTAAATAATCCCACCAATTTAAGATAAAACTGCCCTCAAGAAGGTTAACAGAATCCAGTCCATGAATGTTAAAGTTTCTTCAACTCCATTTGAGCATAACCTATTGCATCCTTCATCCCAACACTTCATGCTTCCTTTACTCCTTAAGTCTGACATACCCTCATTATCTCCAACAGACACCACTTAAACACCTCTTTCCAAAAAATTGCCTGAGAGTGCAAATACTCTAAATCCATTTCATTCACCGGTTGGGCATGTCCCTGTTAATTCAAGTATTATCAGAAAATACTTGTTTGCTGAGTCCATACATCAGTGCTCCAGTCAGCATTTAGTGGCGTCAGAGAAACATATCCATATAGGGCCCAAACCTGAAACTCTTACTTAATACTTACATAATTTAGTAAATACTTTAGAGACCAGCTGAATTAGCTGCCTAAGTGTGTCAAACACAGTTACACTTCTTTTTATACCTTACATTTACCCAGTTTGCATAACCTAGCACAGCTCCTTTCAGTCAGGGGAAGTCGGCAGGCATTGGGCCCCACACCAGCTAAGAATCCAATGAGATATTTATGATAACAGTGTTTATATTCTTGTCTCAACAGTGATGTGTTGATGTGGCAGTGTAGTCAGTTGCTGGTGTATGAAGAACAGCTAACTAACAATGCACTGCCTAATCACCACACACAACACTATGACCGTCCCCAGTTCTGCAGACCTTCACAAACATCGATGCTACTTCTCTTACTAGGAGACCGTCACGTTGTGAGGCACATATAGCAGCATCCAGGTAAAGCAAGTAATAACAAGTCTTTTGCATTCTCTAAGAGCCTGAAGTGCCAGGATGAGGACAGAGGTAATAAACATACTGCCACAGGCAACAGAGTGATAAAAGCTTCCAGTGTAACATGAGTCAAAAGGATAAATGCACTTCCAGATTTTACTCTTCTGAATTATATTATTATGTCCTATGCAAATTGTGTCTCCTGGTTGGTGAGACTATGTGCAGTTGTTTTAATGTACTGCTGTTCACAAATTAAGTTATTCTGAGAAGCAAGTGGAGAAGAAAAACACTAAAGTTGACTTGTCTTTTTTTATAGAACAGAAAGGTAATTATTTTTTAGACATAGCATTCTGGCAGTTAGTGAAAGTGATTTTAAGCCTTTCCAGCATCTCAATTTAAAAAAAAAAAAACCCTCCCCCCCCCAATACCAACTTGCATTTGCTCAATATTACTATAAAAAAATTTAAATCAAACTTTAAAACTCATGTGAAGTTTTAAACTGTGCTTCTTTTGCTTTAAGAAAACTTCGAGAGCTTAAAAGTGTTTGAAATGTTTGCATTATTTACCTGTTCCAAGTATTTATGAACCTCCTGTTACCTTGCTATCTAAAGGCAGATGAAAACCAGAGTCTTAATCAACCAAAAATTCTCACAATTATGTGGATAATGGAAATACAAGATACTGCTATAATACCAAAAATGAGCCTGACAGTCAAAAATGCAATCATTTTATCACCGTATCAGGTGGAGTTGTACAAAGTAGTAGCTCTCGATTTTGATGATCAAGGTATGTGGAAAAGGATAGCAACTGCATGTTAGCTGGTGTCAGAATTTCAACCAGCTAACATACACTGCCATCCCATGACACACAGAGGCACCACGTGCATTCCTGGCAATTAGAACCCTGGCACTTTCGGAAGGAACCACCTTTAAACAGCCATGAGCTGGCCCTGCAGCAGGTGACAGTGCAGTAGTGACTGCTACATGCAAATACAGCAGCCAACTAGCAGTGCACTGCCTACCAGACACAGAGTTCATGCAGAGCGAGACGTCTCATGAAATAACATGCCTGGAAACAACTCTTATTTTCTACCTAAATTCAGCATTGCTCACCTGTTCTGAGGTTCATGTTTCATATATGTACACATACAAATTCAAGCAGTAAATATTGTCATGAAATAAATGGCACCAGCAAGTTTCTGATTTAGCAAGACCTGAATTAAAGTAATAGTATAAAACATGGAGTAAGACTAGAATCAGATCCCAGACTGTCCAAAAGGAACTGGGTAGTGTTGCAGTTCGTTGACTTAATTGTACAAGCACCAGAACCATACGTTATCTGCACAAGTTAATTAGTATCATATTCACTTACTTGAGTCCTTTTCTCCCTTGGGCATGCATTTCTAGTTACTGTTGAACCCAGCCCTTTGTCTACATGACCCCAGAGTCTAACTCAGTATAGTCAATTTTAGGTTATTTTGGAATTAGAATTATCATTGGTTACTCCATAGCACAACTTAACTTTAGG